GGGGGGGGGGGGGTGGCCAAAGGCCACCCCCTTGCACCCGTGTGTGTGTGTGTGTTCCATTCGTTATATAACGATTATGAGTCTATTACTTGATATTTTACACACACACACACACACACGGGCTGGTGCAAGGGGGTGGCCTTCGGCCACCCCGCACCCACACCGTCGACAGAGGTCTCCCCCGACAGTACTATCATAGCAACAGTACAATCGTAGAAGTCGTATGCCCCTGTGCAGGGGGGGGGAGGGGGTGAAAGTTACTTCGCGTGGAAAGTTTAACGTTTCTGAACAGGGAAAGGTGTAGAATAGTACTTCATATCATACATGATAACATACGTTATAAATATGATTGTTAATAACTTTTTAACGAAGGACGAGCGACAGCTAAAACCTGTTGAGGGTTACTCAGGGTCATGACCTTGACAACATATGTCAAGGTCAATGTCATTGAAGGGAGGTCCCCTGATCGAGACATTTACTGTTTTAAAACTATAATTGTTAATAACTTTTTAACGAAGAGCGAGCGACGGCTAGTTGTTAAGGCAAAGTTACTCAGAATCATGACCTTGATAACATATGTCAAGGTCAAGGTCATCGGTGCTGCCTCCCCTATTCTAAATAATTACCAAAAAAATATATAAAAATGCTAAGTCTATATATGGGGCATTCCACGCCAAGTGGGCCACCCATTTTGCGAAGTTCCATGGATTTCGTTCATATTGCGTGAACTTGAACAGTTTGATGAATAAAGAGTCTATGCCAAATAATATACCTGTAGGCCAACTGGTTACCGAACTGTAGAACCGTCAATTTTTGTTGGGGTTTCTCGTTGCAGCGCTCTTTTCGCTTGTCGTTAGTGGGCATGAAAGGCAATTTTGAAAATAAAGTGCAGACGTATTCTTATAGAAAATTGAACGCTCTTTCACGTAAGAATATTATTTTTTTGATCAGACCGGTTTACGGTGATGTTTTTCGGTTTTGAACTTTTCAAAATGGCGGCGCGCCTAAAGGCCGCTCTCAATTTTCTTTTAATATAGCTCAAAATGTAGCTCCAGGTCTCTACTTTGTTACTCTAAAAGGACTTAATGGGACACGCATTCGTTTGGGAGTAAGAGCTAGGAAAGTGAGGAAAATGAGTGGTGCGGCAGGGGGACGGAGTGACATTGCCTCACTTTCCTAGCTCTTACTCCTAAACGAATGCGTGTGACATTAAGTCCTTTTAGAGTAACAAAGTAGAGACCTGGAGCTACATTTTTGAGCTATATTAAAAGAAAATTGAGAGCGGCCTTTTAGGCGCGCCGCCATTTTGAAAAGTTCAAAACTGAAAAACATTATCGTAAACCGATCTGGGCACCTATCATGGAGATTTTGTGATTCCGATCGGAATTGTGAGATTCCGACTGGCGAGTTTCCGACCGCGATTTCGCTAATACGGTTTTGCTATTATGGATCCCAAGCGGAATCGGCTTTCCGATCATTTCTGTCGATTCGGAATGAACGTAAACGAAACAAGAGGAACGGGCGAAATGGACTTTTACAACCAATTACAATGCAATTCTAGAAGAAAAATAACTAAAATGTCGGACTGTGAAAAGATCACTCGACCGTAACGGACGCGTTTCAAACCAGGTGCTCTTGTGAATTATAGTCGAGTTAATTAAGACTAAGAAAATGACAGATGATGTAAGTAGTATAATATAATCGCTTAAATTACGAGAAGCACCAAATTCGTTCAAAGTTGTGTATATTATATATAATATAATATATATAGTAATAGCAAAATACTCTTTGCTTATTAATATTATTAACCCTTAGTTCCGACCGTCCTTTTCGGCACCTTTAATTCCGACTCCAGGGTCGTTCGCGTCCGAGCGTTATTTGGGACAATAAAAACGCTTCAAAAAATCTGAAAAAATTCAAGTAACTTCCTTCAACCTTCAAGTTGAAGCCCCAATAGTAATATTTTGAAAAAAAAAAGTTTTAATATTTTTTTTTTATGCGCGCTCCCTACCCGTTTTCAAAAACTACAGCACTTTGAAAATTCGGCAGGGTCGTAAACGACCTTGGAGTCGGAACTAAGGGTTAATTATGCTATATATTATATAAACAAATTATCGTTTTCTTAATCATAGGGAAGGAAAAAGACTACTTTGGAACAACGCGAAATACTCATACAATTTATGGAAGAACATCCTGATCTAGCCCAAAATAGGATACAAGGTCTTGAGGCACGAAAACAAACAGCGCGTTTATGGGAGCAGCTAGCAAATGAATTGAATAGTTGTGGCCATGGAGCCACAAAATCAACAGAGAAATGGATGAAGGTATACTTAGAAAGAATCATGTATTGTTCCCTTAGGATTTCAATTTCTTTTTTAAAAAATATCTAAACATTTGTTTTGCATTTATGTACTTTATAGTCATGGAGAGACTGGCGTTTGGATGTAAAATCAAAAGCATCCAAATTAAAAAATTATCAGAGAGGAACAGGAGGAGGAGGTCCATCACCAGCATCTTTACAAGATACAGAAAAGAGATTACTTGCTTTGATGGGGATAGAGTCAGTAACGGGACACTTAAGCGTGACAGATCCTGCAGAGGTTTGTAGTACATTAAATTTGCTTTTAATAGCTTAATAATTTTTTACATTTTACTATTAATGACACAATAGTAACTATCCTATTGGCTAAATCATGAATTGACTATATTCAATCACAAATTCCCTACATTTTACATTTTTTATATACTTATTAAAAAAGCGCCCAAAAAGACAAAAGACTTCAGATATTCGTGGTAAGATAGTCAAAGTAAAGTTTGTCAAAGAGAAGTAATAAGGATAATGAAAGTAAAAAATATGTTATGACTTTTTTAAATGTAATTATAAGTCAAATTTAATTTTCACACATGCTTTTACAATTTTTGTTCTTTTAGATATCGATATACAAATATTACACGAAATGCAGGCTCAAACAGAAACGCTTAAAAAGTTGACAGATGCTGTTACAGATGTTGCAGCTACTTTAAAAAATTTTATGAATGTAGAGATGGTATGTATGATAATAATTAATATTATAACAATAAAAGCAGTTAACTTTTTTTATTGCACATTGTTGTATATAATTTTTGAAATACAATAGTTACAGGCATCGTATACAAGTGAGAACGAAGAAAATGGGCATTAGAACAATATTTAAAAAATAACTGTATAACTGTATAACTGTATAATATCATAATACATGTTGCATATATAATGGTACTATGTAATGTATTCGAATATTCCTTCCATAGAGTAAATTATTTTAGCAGATTATTTGAGAAGTTGCAGATTCCTGTTTATAAGACATTGTATATAATATTTAATATCTATAGCTATAAAATAATAAAGTGAGAGACAAGAGAGACAGTGAGAGACAAAATTGCGGATGGACTAAGAGTATTTTGTGTAGGCTGTGAAAAAAAACGCAACGCAAAAAATTATCCTAAACGAAGCCGACGAAACGCTTATGTGTATATACAACGACGATTACGGACGTAGAGTCTAGAAAAAACAGTGAGACGATATTTACATTCATTGGCAGTATTGTTCCCGATTCGTACGAGTCAAGGGCGTGGAGATCTCGAGGCGGATTCGAGTCTCGCTCGTTCTCGTACCCGGCATGACGCGACTTCTAACAAATAAAAAATATCTAAATACCTTTCTAAATACGTACTGTATGTTATTTTTATTAATCATTTGCTAATCGAGTGGCAAGATGATTGCGCATTCTCTGGCCTTCATTAAATATAGCTCGGCCTTCCGGTACTGGCTGTATTTCTCCATTATTCATGTCATCTTCCATAGCCATAATTGCCTCTTCAGGTTCTGGAGGAAGAGGTATATTTGCACGTATGCACATATTGTGCAGTACTGCACAGGCATTTATTATTTGACCTGCTTTTTCTGGAGCATATTCTAGAGTACGATATCTAACTAAGGAGGCATCGAAACCGTTTTTTCAAAACGCCAATGCAACGTTCTACACCATTTCTGACACTACTGTGTCTTTGATTAAAATGTTCCTCTTGTGTACCTGGCTGCACTTCAGGAAACGGAGTTAACAGCCACGGTTCTAACGGATATCCAGAATCTCCTTAAAAAAAAGTAAAAAAAAGTTTAAATATCATATCCAGTAATCTCGTTTGATATTTTACTAATTCAATAAACATTTCAATAACTTAAATTAATAATTACCAAATAACCAACAATGATTATTATGTGCATGTTGCATTTGTAGAAGATGTCTAACGTATGAATTTCTCCATACAAAGGAATCATGGGTAGATCCTGGATATCTTGCTAATATATTCAGAATATACAAATCCGTATCACATATCTAATAAAATATAAAAATATACATTATATTATATATTAATGTTTATTAATTTTTGTTTCTTTTATTATTTTTCAATTTTAAAATATACTTTATATTTGAATATATATATATTTTATTTATTAATATTTAAAAAATTGTCTATATTACAAAGTCAAATTCCTTACAATTTGCACATGTTGTGCATGATATCCTTTTCTATTAACATACAATCCTTCGTGGTTAACAGGTACTCTTATAGCAACGTTAGTTCCATCTACAAAACCAATTAAGCCTGGAATTCTAGTGATATTATAATTTCTGAAACATAAGTTTTTCTCTTTTTATTTACCGACATCTTAAACACAGAGGACGATACGACATAAAGAATGTCAACGTGTGGGCCCTGTGTATATATACATAAAGTTACACGACTCATTATTCTTTGTATACATATACCTCTGAACAACTTGTTGGATCTCTTGTGCTGTCGTTGGAAAATGTATCCATTGCCTTAATTAAAAGATGATCATTGATGGCACACGTAACTTCTTGTAAAAACGTACTAACTGTAGATTGAGCTATGCTCAACCTACAGTCTACACCAACAGCCTTTTGATAGCTACCCTGAGCATAGAAATTCAGGGCGCACAGTACCTAATTCAATAAATAAAAATTATATATAATATAATAATCTCTTATTAAAAGATAAAATTTTTTTTTTTTTTTTAGTTTGTTGTAATATTTTCTTTACCTTCAACTCATTTGGAATTGCCAGAGGACTTCTTCGCAGAGGAAGATGCGGTTCCAATGCATTTATAAGTCCTCTAGTCATATCTCTGTTTATCCGATATAAACCGATAGCGAGATGCTGCCTCTCTCTTTCATGGCGTAATATTGCTAACTATAACATTAAAAAAAAAAGATATAATATTTACAAAATAATTAATATTAATATTATAATATTACACACTATTAATATTATTAATATAAATATATTTATATATTTATATTTAAATATAAATATATTATAATATAAATATAAATATTAATATTATAATATTACTGTTAATATTATTATTAATTTTCTTGTAAAATATTTCCAATACTTACCATTATCACGATGTATTTTAAGCACAAATAGTATGTACACAACCAACAACCGCAAGCAATCACTCGAGACTTAACCTCCTTTTCACGTTCTCAATGTTTGATTCCGATCGGAATCGACATTTCGCCAGCTCGCGAGGTACCAGAAACTTTCCGACCGTTTTGGAAACAATCCGATTGTCCATGATTACCCATCTAGTAACATCTGGTGATAAACGGAATAATTCCG